CGAACCAAGCAGCAGCTCCCGGGTAAAGCAGGCCCTGCTCCTCTCCTCCCCCCAGCAAGTGGCAGTCAACCAGGGCTGGGCGGGAGAGCGCCGGGTATTGGCACCGAGTCTCTTCGCTGGGTCGCGCAGGCGCGGAGCTACCGGAGGCAGCGCCGCCTCCGCCCCCACCTTCCAACAGCTTTTGCGGGCTGTCGACCAGCAGGGTGGCGCGAGGTTTCCGCTTCTCTTTGAAGCGGCCCGAGTGGGAAATCTTGAGATTCCGGCGGCTGCCGCTGCCCGCGACAGGTGGCTGGTTCTCACGAGAGTCTGAGGGGTGGGGTGGGGCGAAGAGTTGCTCGGAGGTCTCCGCCGGCGGCCGGGGCGCTCCCGAAGTAGCCGGCAGGGTTTCTTTGCACTTCTTTCTGTTGGTCAGCGATTTCCACCAGGGGCCCGAGGAGCCTTTGGCCCCGGGCCCGCCCGAAGGGGTCGTGGCGGCGCTGGTGCTCTCCGCCATCTTCTGAGGGCAGAAGGCGCCCGCGTCCTTCCTTCCCCGCTCAGGTCGGGCACTGCGGGGGCCAGGCCGAACTTCCTAGGGGAGAAAAAAGAGAAAACGTCTCAGCGAGCTGCGGAGCCCGGAGCCCGGACGGCCTTTGGTGCATTTTCAGGGCGCGTTGCATTTGGGCGCTGTTGCCCACAGACACCCCACAAAGGGGCATTTATGAGCATATACAGTCGCCAATTCTGACTTGGGGTCACAGCTTGCTACCTCTGAATCTGGCTATTTATCTACCAATATATTTTTATATTATTTCACTCCAGAAAAGCAGCATTGCCCTTTCTCCCCATAGGGATGTATTCCCACCCTCCAGTCGTGCAGCAGGAACTGAAGAGTTAACCTGACTCCTGTGCTCATCAGCAGTGTAATCCGCTTTTCAAGCATGCAGCACCCCCGGGTTTAACTAACAGCAGAGCTGTCTTCAGTATGGCTGATGTGTACTTCTGCTCAGCCCTAGGCAAGGCATTCAGATGAAGCTCGTGAAAAATAACAGTGGCAGCACTAACTTTTTAGCCAACTGAGAAAAATAAAATAGATTGTCACTGTTTGCATGTTGGGCCAATCAAAGTATTCATGGGAGACTGTTATAAAATGGCTGGAGTTGTTAATGGGAAGAAGGAAGAGGGATGTGAACAATCCCATCTACAGAACTGGGACACATTAAACAGCTTGTTAATATCTTACGTTCAGGGACTTGGCTTTTCTCAAGAGCGGTACAGACTTTTTCAATATTAGTTCTGTTCAAGAAGGGCTGTGTCCATGCCTAAACACAACAGCAGAGAAACTATGTAAACTTTAATTCAGCCAAGGTGCTTTGGAGAGTTAAAACCTTTCTATATGACATAGCTTCCTTTTATACTAATGAAGTCATTAGCAATAGTTAAACCTTTCCAAGATTGGGCTCAGCAACCAAGAATTTAGTTGCTTAGCACTATTCATCAAAAGCTTCTTTAGTTCGGAGATTTAAGCAAAGGGTATTTCCAGTACAGTCAGTTTCTAATGCAGCAGTGCCCCTTGATCAGCCCAGCTAGAGGGGCATACTTGCCACAAAGTTCATTGCTGTCAACTTATACAGATTGGCAGAATGGGGCTAAAATGGTAACTTTTCAGGTTTGGCAATTTTGTACTGTATGTTGCCCATGATGAGCAATAGCAACAAAAAAATTGGAAGCCTAATAGTATTCTTCCAATTTAAACAGGCAAAGGACAGTACTGCCCCACTGCATTCCCACTACTTGCTAATAGACATGTACAAAGATTGGATGTAAATGAAGTGAAAACAGTCCTATAGGAGAAACTAATTTTTATACTAGGCTCATAAATGCTTTCCATATTAAAATACAGTAATTAACATCATATTCTAAAATGTTAAACAAGCATTTAATCTAATTTTATTATCACTTATGATCCAGAAGGCTAATTCTCTTTAATTTTTTGCATTTAAGTGCTTGTTGAGGTCTTACAAGCATCCCTTTCAGTTATATAGGACACCTCATGCTCCTACTTGTGAGCTACTGACCAATATTAGTAAACATAATAGCCTTATAATGAACAAGAGTGAACAGAAAGACTTGATGAACAGGTACTGCTTCCTGCACCCCAGTTTGCTTCTGAATTTAGCATTCTTGGTTATGTAGCAGGAAAGGGCTGCCTTCAATTCTTCCAATGTGAAATCTCAACTCCTATCAGACAGTAATTAAGGATGCCAGGCCATAATCTGGATGGCCACATCTTGGCTCAGTTGCTATAAATTATATGCATATCATGATCTGGATTAATTCTATTCTGTAAATTTGACTTATATTTGTTACTTTATGTTTTATGCACACATTTTCTATGTATGATTTCTATAAACTTCTGTAAGAGTGCACTAGTGATGTTAGGTCTGAATAGGAAAAAAAAAACCCTAGTCTTTTTAGAAAAAACAAATATATAAATTCACAGTCTTCCAACGCTACAGAATCTTTCCCTGTGAACAGGTTTACTTTGTCATCATAAACAGATTCACACAACATCTAAGCCATTTTTTTTAAAGGAAAGGATGTATTGCTTTTTTTACTTGCAGGTCATCATCACAATTGCATTTCACTTCATTTTAGATGTCCTGCTAGTTAGCCAACAAATAAATTGATGGCAGGAGGGTCAAGATTTCATAGATTTTAGGATTATCAGGTAGGATACAACACACCGAATTACTGAGAAGCAGAATGAGGCAACTTGCTTCCAGCAATTGGTAAAGTGAGAAACCAAGTCCCAACTGGGAATCATCGCATATATCTAAGTAATGGTGGCAGTGAAAGATTTCGTCAGTCTCCTTCTGGTAGTATCGGGATGTTGAGACAAAAGCAACTTGTTTCCATTAGTAAATTATGCTTGTTGCTAGTCATAGCTAGAGGGCCCTTGTTGCATTGTGCAGTGGAAGAAGCACTTCAGGCAGGTGCAACAGAGGACAGGGCACAAGGCCGCACTTTATAACAAAAGCTATTTTCATCTCTTAAATTGGCACAGAACCCTAGCCTTACATTTATCAGCTTTGAAAATAAATCCTGTAATGTTCTGTTGGTGCTACCATCTCAAATCGGGCCATACTCACAACTGTCCTCTATACTTTTCCGCTGGCTCCTTCAGGAGAGTTCCTGGGGAAAAGATAGCTCTGAGGTATTCCTGCTTGCTATGCAGTTGTCATGTGCGCAGAGGGCTGTTGAGGAATGATAAAGGTCAAGAGAGGGCAGGCACATTTCAGGACAATTTAAAGGATAGTGGTGGTGCTGGGGAAGCTTATCTACTTGTTTTATTGGGATTACTTTTCTTTAAATCAGGTGAGATTTAAAGCGCAGCCCCATGCATCTTTGCTCAGAAGTAAATCCAAAGATACTTAATGAGATTTCCTCTGAGTTCAGTGGATTGTTTTACGAAGAGATGTATATAAGGTTAAAGAACCCACCGGTGAAGCGCAAATCCGCAGGGATTCTGGAAAACGCCAGAGGGAAATCCTCTCTTCTACCGGCAGGACTATTCAAGAGCGCGGAGCTGAAAGCCAGCTCTGTTCCAGCTCACGCAGCGCAACCGAGCGGCGAAGAGACTCTCCCTTTCACTGAGCGCCCATGCCACCCCCCACCCTCCGCGACTTTAGTGCAAGGTACTGGTGGAAGGCAAGGGAGAGGGTGATGGGACCCGCACGCCCTCAGCGCCGCGAGATCAGTGGGCGCCGCCCGACAAACCCCCTCCCCCTTTTCCGGGAAGCGAGAGCACGAGATGGAAGCAGGGCGCTCCTCCCGGGCGGCACCTGTGGGAGCTGCCTACGGGCGAGGAAGGGAGGCAAAGCCGCGCTCTCACCTGTTCGCCCCAGGACCTCGCTCGCTCTTGCCGGTCACCAAGCGAATGGGAGTAAACCCTCAGACCATCCTCTCCACGTCCCGCGCAGGGAGTGTAGCTACCTGCCTTTCCTGAGAATCTCGCTACCTCAGCAACAGGCTGTCTCAGAGTCAGCCGTCTTGAAGCGCCCGCCCGCTCCAAATGGGAGCGCCCAACTTTCCCAGGTGAACCGTGTAGGATCGCGCCGTAAGAGAAGCTGACTTACCCCGAGCAGCCTCTAGAGTCGACGGCAGGCAGCTGGGCAGAGAAAGAATCTACTGTCACGGAAACACTTTTGTCCGCTCTTTCTTTTTTAAATGTAACGTCGTGCAATCTAACCCGCCCAACTCACTTTCTTCAGAAGTGGGAACTGTGCTTGGTACGTCTTGGGAAGACAACTAGGAAGCAGGTGTAGGTGAGCCCTTGAGAGGAACCCGCCCTTTTCTTCTTCTTCAGAAAAGTGATTGGTTCCTATAGAAGCGCAGTTTGACGAGGGTTGGTCTGCTGTAAGTAAAGGACTCAACAGCAAGCTCTAACATTTCAAATAACTGGCAAAGGGAGCTGCAACAGAGCAGGGCATAGATTTATCTTTGTCGGATCTAATTGGATGTTGGCCGTTGCAGTAGGCAAATTAGCTCTTTTTCCTTTTCCTCAGCCGGATCCCTTGAAAATTGTCACTTGGGGAACAGTCTTACTGGGACTCACTAAAAGGACAGGAGTAACCAATAGAAGTAATAAAATGTACATGAAAGTCTTCTGGGAAGAATTGCTGATAAAAAGGAAGACCAAAAATAGAAGGGAAAAACAGGTACAGGGTGTCATCACAGAGATAGCAAACATTTATTTTTGTTTATTATTATTATTATTATTATTATTATTATTATTATTATTATTATTTTAAATCTTATTTTAATGTTTGCTTAAATATTATTCATATCTGTTTTGGACAAGGGCAGAGATACAGTTTTTATTCTGCCTTCTGGAAGGCATATTCTGATTGAATGTGAAGTACTCTATGTTCAAGCAGAGACTGGACAGACACTGGTTGAGGATGTATGTAGGAAGGGAACAGGAGGCTCTTCCAGCTCTATGATTTTGTTTCTTAAGGTGTTAATATTGATGCTTTCTTTAATATGACTTTAATGTATTCTGTTTGTAACCCTGGAATGGTAGGCTTTGGGAATAAGTGAAGAGAAGGTTCTTGGGATAAATCAGTGTTCACCAGAGATGGTCCCCTAGATCTTGACTGATGCCTCCTGAATGCAGGATGAAAGGACTAGGAAACAAATTATTGATCTCAGAAGTACAGGATATATTTTGACCTGGAGTAGAGAGACAGTCATGGAATGTAAATAACTGAGCTGTGATTCAGAGTTAGTTCCTGGGACAATAATAATAACCTCAAAGATTTAAGTTTTCTGTGTATGCAGATTCAATAGTTAAGGTACTAATAAATTATTAATCCAGCTTATCATTTTGTGGCTATCCACTAGTATGCTTCCAATTCAAACTGATCAGTGTGGCTAATAAAAATAAGAAAACTTTCATAAGCTTAATGAACAACTCATCTCCCACCCACCTCCAGATTACATAATCTTTACACAAGTTTCCCCAGTCCTCTTATCCTTCTTTCAAGAAATTACCACCATCTGAGGCTTGTCTTAATGCTAGGGGACTATTCCTTTCTCTTACAGAACTGTAAATAGATTAATAGAAGTACTTAAAAATTAAGTGTTAATATTTTAAAAATAAAAAATATGAACTGGTTATATGCCATTTGTAAGAATATGTTTAAATCATACTTAAATACCAATGTTACATTCTACAATAATAGAAAAGATAAATTATGGTTATTGTATCTTCCCTCTGCCTACACATGAGTTTACTTGTGACCTGAATTGATTTCAGTGGATCTTGGTCATGTCAGTGACTCTCACATACAGTACTTTCCAAACATCATCCTTGTTTTTCATTTTACTATTCCCAATCTTGCCTTCTGTGTGGCCATTTTGGGAGTAAGAATGTGATACCTCAAGGACAGCAGCAGCTGACATCTAAAGCAGTCTTTCCAACTAGTTCCATTATAATCATGTAAAAGGTGCCCTTAAAGATGTGCAGAACTATCACTTCCATGGTGTCATTGCTGTGAGGTGGGTAGTCATAGAAATTGTTTAAATAAATATTTGCTACTATCCTGCTGACTTCTTATGGGTGTGCAACATGCACTGTTCCCTTTGACTTTTTTTTACTAAGACTTATAGTTGAACACATCTGAAGAGCACCAGGTTAGGAAAGGTTAACTTGGAAGGCTAAAATTTATATTAGGTTCTTTGCTATTATTTTCTGACATCTACATGTTCCAGGACAAGTGAAAAATGAGTCTAAGCTCCAATTTATTGATTCAGTGTAACTGATCCCTATAAACAATAAATGGTAACTCGACAGCAAATTGAAGCAATCAGTACAATTGGCATAGTCTAACAGAGTAGGAATGACACTTCCAATATAGCAGGAAGTTGCACAAAACTTTTGAGTATCACAAGATGTATAATTTCATTAGCTACTTTTGTTTGCTTGCTTTATTTTAGGGAACCTAGGTTTACTTATAAACCTGATGATTTTTGAATCATACTTTTAATTTCAAGTTACACAATTGTTTTGCGTATGCAGTAGAATAAGACTCCAAATGGAAAAATATAATTAGAATTCAATTCAACCCACATCTGAGGTTGTTGGATAGCCCAAATGATCATTATTGAGCGTTTTCATACTGGAACACTTTTGATGTGGTGGTTTGTTAGTAGGAGGATGTGCTTATTGGGATTTGCACGAATCATGTTTCAGTTCACACCTGGACTAGCAGTGTGGAAACCAGGCTGCAGCAATGTCTCAGGAACTTGCTGCTTTTGTCAGAATAATGAAAGCAGTGTCACACTATTGCAAGTTACTTTTTATAATTTGCATAAAATTATGCATTTTTATAATTTGTCAGTGATTGCAAATGACTATGGTGGTAGGTAAAGAATGCTTTGAAAACCTTAAATTTCACACATATAGAACGAATGATATTTCCCAATAAACGTGCTTAAGGGATCCTGGTGTGAATTTGCTATAGACAGAAATACTGTGAACACAATATTTAGTCTACAGTATATAATCTGGAGTATACTACCAGAATGTGCATAATACATTATTATAATATATATTATGCGTAATATAGCTAAATCTCAAAAAACAAAATCACTTTACCTAAAATAGTACAATATGAAACTAGTACAATATAACACTCTCATGGTGTTTTGTCTGGCACATTAATAAATCTTTGAGCATACTTACAGCCACTTATAAGGAAAAGAGAAAGAAGGTACATTTCTTGTAATATTTTTCATACTTGAATATGATGCAGAAATGAGTTGGAAAAACATGTTGATGGGCTACTATAATACTTAATACCAGCTAACTGGCTAATACCTGCAGAAAGATGTCCGGTTTAATTAGTTGTCTTTCATCACATTAGAAGTTTTAAAAAAAGAAAAAAATGAAACTGATTAAATATAGGAAGCAGTTACATCAATCTGTTAGAACATTTGACAAAAGTTTCAATTATTTGAACTATTTACTTACTGTATATTTACTAAAAATGCCTACGTCGCCCAGCCATAGATTCTAGGCAGCCCACAATTACATAATATCCAGAGTGGTCAGTAAAAATGAATCTTCATCAGTAAAATCACAAAACTAAAAACCAGTCACAGGATCAACAGCCAGTACTATATATCACTGCCTACAAGCCAAAGGCTTCATGAAACAGCAGTGTCTTAACTGTCTTCTGGAAGAAAGGGGGCCTACCTCACCCAGGGGATCAAGCTGTTCCATGAGGTTGGAGTAGCCAGAGGAGGAGGCCTGCCTTCACCCCCTGACCTGCCTAGTTTCCCCATACCTTGTCAGCTTGCACATATAGGAAGGGCAAATTCAACATGGATGAGATGATCCTAAATGTAATAAGAACCCAAGCCGTAAGAGCTTTATAAGTCAAAACCAGTACTTGAAATTTTACCCAGAAACCACAGTGTCAGTGCTACTGAGATGAAATGGCTCTCATCTGCCAACAAACAATTGTTGCATTTGGTGGCAACTTCAGCTTCTGAGTAATCTTCAAAATTAAATCAAATCTGTACTACAGTCAAAGACTAGCATAAGGAGGGTGGAGTACAGTCAAAGTCTCTCTGTGTGTGTAGCTAAAAATATAAAACATAAAGTATATATCTAAAAGGAAGGGTAGGAGCATTAGATGAGTGTAGGGGGGCATAAAGGTTAGTATGTGGCAGACTATATCAAATTACAGAGCACACTAGTATGACGAACTAGATGCTCATTAAGACTATTTATGGGACAGGTATCTGCTGCACAGAACCTGGCAACATAAGTTGTAGCAGGGCTGGTATCTGAAAGCAGCAGGGTGTAAAATCATCTTGTGCAATAATGGTGAGATGAGGCTAGTACAAATGTCTCTGTAATACAAGCATTGGAGAAGCATATGCTCTGTTGTTTCTGTGTGTCCAGAGTCACAGGGGCACTGTCTTTCTGAGTAAAGGATCTTCCTGTACTGGTCCTCAAGGACAGCTGAGGGGAGAACATGATATTGTGCCGAGTAAAGGCCCTCCAGTGGTTAGGTACTTTGAGTTTAGTTAAGTATGTCATGGGGAGACAGAGTACCTGTTGGATTCACTGGTAATAAAGGTTGGGGACCTGGCTAGATCCAGCTCTGTGTCTGTTACATGCTGTTTAATGAGTGCTTTGGCCTGATCGTATCCCATGCTGAGTAATCTTCAAAGGCAGCCCCAAGGAGAGTGCATTATTGTAATATCCAAGTGTAAGATGATAAAGGCATGAGTGACTGTCACATTCATTAACTGCTGCATATAAGTTGTATGAAAAATGTGAAATCTCAAAGACATAGAAAAACCATGTTTGTACGTTTTACAGTGAAAATAACATATAGATTCAACACATTTATTTTTTTTTCTTTCCATTTACACTATCATAAGTTACAAAGCATATTTCACTTCACAAAATAAAACCATTTCCATACCATTTTATAACAGTATTTAGTACATAGCCTACAACATTTAAACTTGTGCAACTTAAGAGAATTTCTAGGACTATTATACCAGCAAATCAGACCCCACTACCATCTGGCCTGCAGCCTGGATCTGTCTATCTAGCCCTTGTTGATCTAGGTAAAGGATAATTAATATACATTGTTTCCCTTGCCCCATTTGGTCTTTAATCTTCTTTCATTATCAAAATTACACACATTTTTGTATAGAAACCTATGCTCCCTGAAATAATTCAGAAAACAGCAGAATTGGCTTTCAAAACTTGTGATCCATACAAATCAAGAGTACAGTTTAACAGAGCTTTTCACAGAGAAAATTCTGATTTACACTATACTTTCTACCTGTGTTTATTTAGTTATTTATTTATTTATTAGATTTATCTCCGCCCATCTCCCCCTAATGGGGGACTTTGGGTGGCTCACAAGATCTGTTTGAAATATGTGTACAAAAATCTCTTGATGAGAAATATGTATAATATTAGAATGAATTGCATTTATTAGATTGAGAAGTCAATCTTTGAAAAGACAGAAGAAAGTCCCTTGACATTTGGTAATACACTATTTCTCTTTCATTCACTCTCTCTAATTTATTAACACATTTGCCAAAATAAAATGAAGAAAAAAGGCTTAATTTAAACAGGTTTACTTTTATAAATACCGAAGCCATTTGGAATTTAAAAATAACAAAAATCCAAATAAGTGTGAACCTTTTACCAAGTTCAGAAATATCCAAGAATCTAGCATTACTCATTTTAAACATAGCTGTATTTCAAGAAACAAATGTTATGTGTAGTAGTTGATACTACTGCCAATACTATTTAATTTTTTTACAACATCTCTCTTTTTGGAGGTAAAGTTAAAACAAAAATTACTGCATTTGCCATACCTCTACAGGATATGTTCAGATGTGTATGAAGTAAAATCTTTTAAAAACCATTTGCAATGAAAGTAATAATGTCAGGATAATACTGCAGTGGTAAATGTTTTCAATATACTATAGCAATAATGCTTAAGAAGAATATACGGAAAATCATCAATGCACCGCATTGAATTATATTTTGCTTAAAAAAAAAAGACATTCCTAAAACTAACGTAAGTATAAAATATATTTATAAATACACGTTTTGTTTCACTCAGACATATACAATTATGTCTTACATAGAAAAAAAATGTATATCCCTATAGAAATAACACTGATGAACACCCTGATCTCTTGGATAAACATTTTGGGCCTTTATTGCCTTCTGGTTCCTTATAAATGAAGATGTTTTCTATATGGGAAACATCTTCATTTATAGAGAACCAGAAGGCAATACATGTCCAAAATGTTTTAGATGTGGTCTATTTGTGTATAATTGTGCACAAAGATTCTAAACAAAGGGAGAATTAAAATATGCATCAAAATGCATTTGCAGAATTGGGTACACATAAATTGCTGTGCTGAGAGAGTTAATTTTAGTAGAAACTGTGCCAGCATAAGATTTGGGATTCAGCTTAATAGTACCTTTTTGCTTCAGTGATCTAAACAAATATACAAAGTTTCTTTTAATAAGTTAACAGAAGAAATCTGTAACCTTTCTACACAGAGACAAATTGGAAGCAAGGTAAAAGATACAAGGGAAGAGAATTTTTTCTGACTTTGTTCTTCTGACTTTTGTCTGTGAGACATAGCTTTTATTAAATATTTGGTGTATATCTACAAGACACATAAAATGAAACATTGTCCACACTTCTTGTCATGAGGATTTATTTAAATTTAATTTTCATTGCAGATGGCTATATATTTAGACCGGTTTGTCTAAAACAAAACATCTTCATTTTCTATTAGTATCTGCACAATCAGCTTCTGGTACCGCATATCATTGAGTGTAGCAAGAGTGCTATCTTCTGGGGGCCTCATTAAAGTAGGTCCAAACACTATACCCAGATTTTCAGCATTCATAAAGTTTTCTTTTTCATTCATGGTAACCCTATAAGGGGAAGACCAAAAAAAAGGATATTTTTATTAGAGTTACTTTTTAAAATGCTACTTTTGGTTTACATTACCAATCATGGTATATACGCTTACAACTCAGTTGCCAAAATTATTCTGTTCTGTTTCACTATGTGATAGAAACTCATTCAGTTCTTACACTGGCTTTCAGTCATATCACACACACATTTCCTGATCCTCCATGACCTTGGTCTTTCATCTCCTACATCCTGTGACTTCATATCATCCAGGTCCACCACTCCAAGCAGTATGAAAGCTTACTACTTTCATCTGCTTTGTAATTTCCCAGAATTGTTTTATGCAACCACCTCTGTTATTCCATCAAGGAGCATAACAAATAAATAAGATTATTCTTCTCTCCTCAGGGCTCCCTCTTGCAGGGAAGTCCCTGAAGTCTCAGTCTTAGTCTCAGGTCCTTGCTGTATCTAAGATAAAGAATGTGTAACTGAAAGTTTATGTATACTTTCATTGCCTCTATTTGCCTTATGATTCTTTCTTTCTTTATTAAGCCGCTCACAGCAATGATCTGGCAAGAAAACTGACCTACACAGAAATTCTCTTGATGACTATTTATCTTTTTTGTAAAGTATATTTATGTATAAAGCATACAAGCAAAGCAAATTAACTTACTTTTTGAGATGAATCATCAGGTATCTAAGAGTCTCATAGTGTGCAGCAGGAAGTAACATTAACACTTCATGGACAGCTTCTAATCTTTCATCAGGATTGGAGAGTTCTGTGGGATACAATAAAATTCATTAAGGCTAAATGTCAGCATTAAATAAAAATCTAACGGGGTTTTATATTGTGAGGATTTTAGAACTATGATATTATGGAGTGTAATAAGTGATTAATAAAAGAGATCTATCTTAATACTTACTTGCTGCCTCTATGAACTTAGAGTAAGTATCATAAGTGATAACAGGAATTGGTAAATCTCTGAAATACAGCTTTAGTGCGCCAGCAATAATATTTATGTCAGGATATATGTTAGCAGAGACATCTGCCTTGTCACCATCTAGAAAAGAATGAGTGTAGGTTTTAAGATTATTTTTACTGGGGCAAAGTTAACTATTTCTTGATACAGCCTTTCAAACATAGAAACATACATACATACATACATACATACATACATACATACATACACACACATAGCCCACACACCATATCCCTGGTGT